TTTAAACAAGAAAGGTGATCATCAGCATTTAATTTCTCCAAGTTCAGTCAGTGGAAAAAGATGCTTGGTGTAAACCACAGTTATCTAATTCATTTGACGCCAAATACTACGGTAGGTCGGGTCAACAAATGGAGAAGGTTGCACGTCGTTCAATTGTGGATGATCTGATCGGTACCCCAAATTATGATTGAACCGGAAACGCTGATTGAGGAAGATCTGTTAGCTTACTTAGGCTAACACCCTTAGTGGGTTATGCTGAAATTGTGAGCTTCCATTGGTCGAGGTTACGTAACCATGGCCAACCCTGGCGGATAGTCTCAAGCATATTTTCTACTCAGGGTATGATGTTCCACCTTCTAAGACAAAGCTTCGCCTGGCTAATCCTTGGGTAGGAGCCTTTTCAAAGATTAAAGCCTCGTGGCCACCATTTCCCAAAGCTTTACGTTTTCAAGACTTCTACCAAAACTTTCACACCACGCTTTTTGTGAGCGCTGACTTTCTCCCTCGGTCTAGTTCTCTCGAGTTTTTACCAATTGAAGAAGTTGAAGAGCCCTTGTAGGCATGCTGTCACGAGCCAAGTTCCCCGAGTGTACTGTAAAAAGTAGCCGTTTGCTAGCTGAGTGGGACACTTCTCAGTGATGGGACTCGCGACTGATCATTCTGACAAATATTTGACGACCAAGACGAAGCAGGTAGCGGTTGCGGTTGGGTCGACACAGGGAAAAAGCGCTTTTCGCAGATTCTGCACGGAAGTTCCAACGAAATAACCGGTCCCGTCGGAGCGGCTGGTCGTCAGCGGCGCTTTTTTCAGTCTTGTCGGAGATTTTTTTGAACGAGAAGCCATTTCCTTTCATGGATAGAGGCGCTATAGCCGCTGAAAGAGAACTAAGAAAACTCACCATCAGAGAGGATTTCGTAGGCTTGAGCGATTTTCTTGAACTGTTTTTCGGCCATCGCCTTGTCCTTCTCTTCGGGATGTTTGTCTGGATGCCATTTGAGCGCCAATTTCTTGTATCTGAAAATAGACAAATTTAGAGCAATAATTTTGGAAGGACATTTAGTTGAATTTAAGTGATATTTAGGAAGGACGGAAGGAAAGTGACGATCCAGAAGTCAGAATAGAGAATAGAGGAAGAGTGTCAAGCACAAGAATCACGCGCAAAAAATGAAAAAAAAATAATGGGCCTTCTCATTCGGTGGTTATGGACGGGGTATTTGAAGTGATTTTTACGTAATCACTTTTCAAAATCGATAAAACATAGAAAAAAATTTAAGACCGAACAAAACTGAGCAAGTCTCTTCTTATCCAAAGAAGAATGTGGGCTATTTAAGTCCATAAAAATGCACTAAAATTCCTACAAAAGTCTTGGCTCATTATTTTTCAGTGAGTCTTACTAGCTGAGGATTGAACGGAGTGACGAAAAGTAAAGAGTTTTCCGAAAATAACCTTCTAATTGAGACATTAAAGAGAATTTCAAAATTCATCGAATTTTTTTTCGAAAGTTTATTATATAATTAAGTAAAAACCTTTTTCTTTGCTTTTGGCGAAAAACAAACATGGTCGCTATCCTAGAGAATGTAAACTGAGAATATTACCGATTGGAAATTCTTTGAAATAACAAAAAAAATACTTGGAATAATGATAACAATAATTGAGGCGCTCATGGCCTTGGGTGGGGGGCATTCAAAACAGGGCATCTAAAACTGGTAGGTGACATTAGCACCACCCATGAGAGGGTAGTGACGCCAAGGAGAACAACGGTTTCTTGAATCCTCATTCATAATCCCTTCCCCTCCCTAAGGCCTAGTCCCAAGTTCTGTAAGTGCGGCTAATTCACTTGAATGTCCCCCCCCCCCAATGACATGAGCGCCACAATTGATAATACACCATTCAATAAGGTTATTTGTAAGTGAGACTGGAACAAATACACTGGCCTCGACCTAATGACAAATTCCCAATTGGCTTGGTTCATTAGTTCAGCGAATCGTGATTTCAACCTGGTTTTCAGCTTTAAATTCATCGAGCCCCCAGTACCAGCCGATTTTCGAGAGGACGCATCCAATTTACATATGTGCCAGCGTTTTATCATTTATAAACATAAATAAAGAGCAATCGTCGTCAGGTCACCTTTTTGGCAAAAGTGGCCATAAAGACTTATTCTGGCACCATAGTTGTTTGAATGATGCTCGATCCGCTTCTTAGGTAGCACTCCAACGGGGGGACTAGAAGGGGAAAACGGAAAAAGGATACGTGAATTGCTCATGTCCCTTTTTTTTTGGGTGTTGACCGCGCCATGCAGTCGTCTTCTATTGCAGATCCTAGCGCAGTTTTCGAAGCGATTCGGGTATACAATGACATACGTGAGCCAACCAAGGTACATTCCATTATATCCCACCCTATCATCTCCTTCCAAGACATTTCGTGACCGCCTAATTAGGTAGAAGTGGAAGGCCTGTTGCGCCTGCGTGAAATTCGCTCCAGCTTGTGATTTTGGAATCAGGGTTACTGCAGCGCGTTGCACTTGCCACTGTTCCATCTTCACATCAAAGTAGTGAATTAGCCGAGTAAACCGCTCACTGGGACCTAAGCTCTTCGTGTTGATGACCATGAGATCTCTCCTTTTCCTCCGATTGGCTTTATGCCAAATATTGTCTATTTAGCGATGTAGACCGTTGTGTCGTTGGCTTTGTCACCTTCCCCCCCCCGCCTGTCCCCAAATCAGACTTATGGAAAAGTGCGTGCAACACTTTAACTGGGAGTGTCCCAGTCATTTAGCACTCGAACGAGGGCAATATGCCCTTTCCCTAGCGAATCCCACTCAGACCAATGAACATATCCCAAAGTGCATCAGCACTGAAAGGACTAGCACGAAAGAAATGCAGGAAAATGAGCAAAGATGCAAATTTTTAAGCGGATTTTTCAGTTAAGCTCGTGCAAATGTGCAGCCAAGTATTCATTGGTATTTTTGGCTTCGATCAGAAAAGTAAAAGTACTATGACCTGCTAGTAACCGAACAAAAATACTTTTTACCCCGTAACAAACCCGTCATAGAACTCCTTTGTGTTTTGTCGAGCGGGCCAAGCGCTTCGTGACGATGAGACGGCGATCATCCCATCACCCTTGGCTCTGAATCATCCCTGGGAGCAGCTGCGGGCGATAAAAATAGTACAACATTTTATATATGTTCGTGTTTGCTGATCCTTCTGCAGAATAAATAGTAAAGGGCAGGGTTCTCAGCAGTCACGAAACAGCTCGAAGAACGCCGTGGTTTTGCTTTCCGTTCAAGATCACTGAAGTGATTAGAAGCGTCTCAGACCCGTGCAAGAAACGACCGCGTCCAAACGATACACTAATCGGACGGTGCTAGCTGGTTGACAAACATCGGCCACCAGCTTAGGGAGGTGAACTCAAGTTGGGTCAAGGATCCGATCGAAAAACTCTGAGGCAGAGAACAACTGCGCCATCTGACCTCTGAGCTACCCTGGCCCCTAATGTGAACGTCCAAAGGCTCCAATACTCACGTGATGTCGAGGTTAATAATGAAGGTCACGCATTTCCCCCTTCTTCAATTTCCTGACTAGAACCAGCAGCAA